TGGTCTATAAGAATGTAAACAATAACTGCATATGTGTAACATATGTGTTAAGTATACATGTATATAAACTTTAAAAGAGATTGGCATGTCCAAGATATGGAACCGGACCACATTTTATAAAACACAATTTCATTCAGTAAAACAATTGATAATTGATTGTTTTGATAGATACCTGTTTAGCACCATACACATTAGTTATGTTGTCTTTTATAGATGAGTTACAGTTGGTAGTTACCACTAAGTTTTTTCTACAAAATAAACAATGAGAAACAACAAATATTGTATTTGCTTTATTAGTAACACAATATATGTATTGACACATGTATTGACACATGTAACGAATGAAATAAGAAATACTGAAGTTATAAACATAACGAATGAACAAGTTAAGGAAGCAATTTAAACTTTAAAAAAATAATAAATCTGCTGGACCAGATGAAATTACTCATGAAACAATAAAAAGAGGGGGTGAAGTAATGATTAAATCATTGAAACATCTTTTTAACTTTTGCTTTGAGATAGAAGCTTGCAAATAGTCATGGTAAAAAAATTGAAAAACAGGGTTATCTCGGCCCTGGAAAAATTCACTCCACTGAGAACTCACTGTAAATGTTGAAACAGGTTGGTTTTATTAAAATACCTTAAAATATTGTTTTTAATTCAGAGAAAATATTAACTTTGGAAGCCAAGGTGACACGTCAAGCAATTTATTGCATTTGTTAAACATACAAATAGTGTGACTGCATAAATTAACAAATCTTAAATCAGGAATACACAATATATTGCAGAATGTGTACAAACTACTGAGGTGACTTACCTGGTAGCTGTCTGATTATAACAGACCAAACGGGCACCAGTAGAAATAATACAGTAAGCATACAATACATTCACCATTTTGTTGAACTCCTATAAAGAAAAATACAGAACTTAATAGCTTAATACAACGAACCATATTTCAAAATAGACTGGGATGACAAATTTAAACCATTGTATAATGTAAGAATTCCCAAAACAAGGACTGAACTAAGAAGCTTCAGCTTCAATTCTGATCTGATTGATCGCCATAATGTATTTGTATAGACAGTATTCTCATAATAATTTCATGGTATATTTCATAACTGTTCAAGTTCACAAAAACATCATACATTCAAATAAATATTTGTTACCTTCTTTAGATTCCTTAAGAATTCTTTGTGTCTCACTGGCAATGTGTGGAATACATTTTGCAATGTCACGGTTGTTCCTCGCTGAACATAAAGACAAATAATTAACATATGTTATAATCTGTCAAGAATTGTCTAGGATTACATGTAGCTGTTTGGAAGCGAAAGATAAAACATAGCTCAAACAAACTATTTTTTGAATTATTGTGCGAGTATTATTGCAGCAATAGCTATAACTAATAATCGTTTATCTCTGATTATTAAAACATTTCCTGCATTATTATAGCGCAAATATGTGGCATTATGGAGACTGAAAGCATAGCATATTCACTATATATCAATATTGTACATTAAATCACTTGTATGAGAAAAGATGGCACGAGGGTTGCATGCAGAACTCCAGAGGGCGCAATTGAAATCCAGTTTTGTCAGGCGAACCTCAGGATTATGGTACAAGACAATTTACTGGAGCCCCTGGCCAAAATGTCAATTTTATCCTGAGAGGCTATTTCCAACACCATTTCACTAATGATTTCATTTCCCATAAAAGTATGTGTCATGTGTCATGATTTTTTACGATCCATACCGCATGACTTATTTCAACGAAACGGCGACTACTACATTTTATGTGTTTACCTGTGCAGGAGTCAATTTTGCTCATGCAATTGTATTTAAAACAATATTTAGGTGAGATGGAGTCATCTTTATGTGATTATATTTAAACCAACAATTTTTCAAAATCACAGCTATTGCTAATTCCCAGTATACTGTACATGTCAATACATACCTGTCTTGGACAGGGTTCTTGACTTTTAATTTTACCATTATAGTCATATTCTATTCTGGTGCCCACACTGCATGTCTTATAACACGTAGTAATTGTTAAACAGCTGGAATGAAGATTGACAGATTCTATATACGCATACAGATATATAATAAACAACAAATATTAAACCATTAGGTACTAAATGTGAGCAGCTTTGAAGAGAGATAATTCCATGATGAGTTGGCAGAGTTTCCCAAACTTATATTGTTACTTAAGCTGATTTAAATATTTAAATTTGTTATTAATAACTTTAGTGTCTTCAGACCTCAAACCAATTTGCTTTCACAATATGTACTTGTGCACAAACCACATCAAAATTGAGGGTTTGATCATTATGTAAAAACTTGACACCCCCCCCCCACAATATAGTAAATTAAACATCAGAAAAAATTCTCCTGATAAATTTAGCTTTACTGTAGTACAATTCAATAGTGAATTAGACAAATTTTAGATTTTTAAAATACTATATCTTCTACCGTTTTGCGAAGTGGCTAATCAAGTTGATAAATTACTGAGAAAAACAATGCAGTATTAGTCACCATGGCTGAAATTATTTTGTGAAAGACAGGTATTAAAGTTTCTTACCTTAATGCACATAATGAACTGAGAGCTTCACCTCTGAAACCAAACGTCTCTATACACGTCAGATCAGAAAAATCTTTAAGTTTCGATGTATGATGTTTGAGAGCTGTAAATAGATGGGATTATCTGATTATTGCATTTTGGATATCCTTGAAAGCTGTCAGATATTGATGTGTTAACAATTGAGTTTTGTTGAATGATCAGGATGGTCGACTGGTTATCCAATCACATGGTACTTACCCAATCCTTCAAAATCATCTTGTTGTATACCTGAACCATTGTCTATTACTTCTAATAATTCACAGCCATACTCCTTTAATCGGATTTCTAAACAACAATTATTCAGAATATAAAACCACTCCATTGACTGTAGTTACATCATGTATAGAAATAGGTGACCACGCATATAGTGCATTGCACTGTGATGTGATGTCATACTAGTATGTTTTTAACCAGCTTGCGAGTGTCTGATATCACTCACTGGTACGTCTGATATAGCTCACGATTTGCTGTGACAATGTTACACATAGGTTGTTTTATTAAATGCAACACATATTTATATTTATTATTAACAGCAGAGCACAATGTTGTTATTTTATCTTTGGGTGTGAGCAATCGATTCTTGCAAACCAGTCACAGTAAAATGTAAACAAGTGTGATGGCCTATCCTTGGGGCGGAGCTACGTCACAAGACGTTCCACGTTGCTAAGACGCGCACCACTGTACATGCATTTCTATGGGCTCTGTGCGCGCTGCTGTGGAATGGCGGTCGAGCCAGTGAAAATTCGAGAAAACACAAACTCAACTTTGAAGTAATCCTGAACAACCAAATTTATATATGTTACACACGTAAGGCTAATCTTTTTACACTGTTCAAGGGAGTCTCAACAACCATCCCAAATTACCGTTTTTCTGCGAGTTTTAGGCCTTTGTTTTCATCGCGAGGGTTGCCAGGCGGTGAAAATGCCCGGATGTCCGCCCCGAGGATACAGAAACTCTGTGAGAAAAGATGCAAGGAAAGCAGTTTAAATTATGGATAGTTTTCTTATATACTGCTCTTAAGTTTAACGCTAGATTTTATGCCTGTGTTTTCAAATGTCCTTGATTTAAACCAGTAGATTTTTTTTTTTTTTTAAATTGATTTTCAAATCTCCCATCCCTGGGTGATATTCAACCCTTATGGAAAGGTTTATTGTTCCAGCCATGAGAGGCCATCTAACATTGTGTACTAGTATTAATGTTTGTTCGCTCATATAATTTCCTAAGATTATACTTGGATGGACTTGTGGGGTTTAAATATCATAAAAACCACTACAAATCATGATTAAAAACAAAGCACACAAGTCTGTAACAAAAAAATGTGTAAAAAATATGTACCAGTAACTTCTGTCTTTGTTCCCCAGGCGAAATGTTTTAATCCCCACCCCCTTCTCAAAGAGAATTCTTACTCACCTATATTTGTGGCGCCAGCATCCAGACTGTTCTCCACTAATTCTTTGACAGCTGTGGCTAAATTCAAGACAACTTGTCCTGAACAAATTTGATGTATTGATCGTTTATCGATGGGCTGAACATGACCTGCATTCATGCTTGATGCTCTGTTGTTAAGAATGTAAATATTATACTAATATTATACTAATATTTAGATAAATTGTTGAAATTAAATTTTATATATCGTGAATACCCCTTCATCCAGACGTTTGTTGAATGATAACAAGAATAAAGACAATATGTCATCCTCACCAGGATGTCATTGAAATTTGAAAAAACAATATTTAATTTATTGTTGTTGTCATATTGTTTCATAATCCAAACATTGCCAGCTAATGTACCTCTGAAGATGGTTACATAATTAGAGCTGGTTAGATCAAACCATTTTTATGAAGGTGTGCTTTTCTGCTTATATTCAACATGTCCCTCAGTATTAGTTTGGACATTTCCAGTTGATGTTGGTTTGTCCCAACTTACCAGTAGGTGTCAAAATTGTTGTTTTTTGGTGTTAGAAACAATTAACATGGCGTTGACAATAAAATCTATTACTACCGGTAGTACAGTTTCTTGGTAATATATGTGACCAGAATGCTCAATAGGATTTTGGGGGGAAACTAAAAACAAATCACAATTTATAAAATATCTCATTTTTATGTCAATATTAATTTTTGTTGTCAAATTCAACAATTGTTTCAGACACCCATCCCCCCGCTGAGACACTATTAAAGGTAGATTTTTTTATTTCAAGATACAAGATGTGATAGATATAAAATACACCTGGTTGTGTGTTCACAGGTATGGAGGTAAACAACTGCAGAACTTACTCACGAGTTCAAAGTTTGTGATGGTGACAAGTTGGCTACAAAAACAGTAGTGTACACATTTATTTAAAACGAAATCATATGTGTGCGTTATATGTTTTGTGTACACACAGTACAGCATCTATTACACAACTCACCTATCTGTGAAATCAATAACGCTCTCCACTTGGGAGCTCTCCATTTCTATATTATCTATCTGAGAGTGATTGCACTGCGTCTGCGCTGCAGCTCTTGTGTCGTATCCTCCAATCAGACCATCGCATTTTTTGATAGGGGTGTGCATACAAATTTATATCCGTAGAAAAAAATAAATTAATCCCTTTGCTGCTTTTAATATAAATAATTAAGTGTATAATAATTTTTAAATCATTTGCTTACGGAAATTTATTTATTTCAATAATCATGTTTGCATTCAATTTAAAATTAGTTTATTGTACCTCACGTGCGTAATGGTGTGTTCGTTGCGTCACTTCCTGTTGTGAATATTAAACATGGCTACTAATATCTGTATATTGTGGATGATAAAATGGTGACAACGCGACACGGAATATTATAGAAAGTAAGAATATTTTCATTACTTCTCAAATGGTTGACAATATCGTCCGTACACCTCAGATGTTGCACAGACACAGTCCGTGAAGGTGTTGCATTGTGGCACGAGAAATCTCGTTCTTGGGTGACTAGTGAGATTCTTAATTTTCGTTTTGAAAGTGAAAAGGGTAATATTGGTGACCAATGTATTTGTGAACATATATGTACATGAACTAGTATTATGCGGGCAGTGTACAAGTACACTGTCGTCGGTTATATTAGTTCATGTGCAAAGTTGATTTTGCATTTGCTTCTCCACTGCATTCTAAGAAATTATTCCAAGAACTGGGATATATATATATACATTAAAATTCACGTGTTCCAACGTTACGAGGCATCCATTGATACGTTACCATTACGAATGTGTAATGTCATTCGGTCTTTCAGCGATTTTTCGCGGACACGGACATACGGAATAATAATAGTATTTATTAACTCATAATATCTCCCGGAGAAGATAAAAATGGACATACAAAATATAACAAAAAAACAGCAGTAAAACAACAAAAACAGCTTTTAACTCATTTTTAAATACAGAAAGAAGATTTTCAGTCTGGTATTATTAAGATGGTCTTAATGAATTGAGTTATGGAAGTGACATGTGTCAGCTGCTCATAATGGAAATAAATTTATCATTTACTACTGGTTCCAAAATTATTAATATGAATTTCTGCTATGTGCCCTATATGCTGGCAATTCATAACAAAGTGTTTTTCATCTTCAACTTTGTTTTGTATACATTTGTCACTTGTTCTAGAATTGATTGGTATCTGTTAAGTCTGCCAGTTTCAATTTTGAGACAATGATTACTAACTCTAAATCTAATCTGGGAAGGGATATTTAGCTTTAGATTACAAATGCAAGTTTATTGTTCACTACTGCCAATCTATATTACATGTGGGTACCTTGCATGTTTGTGTCACTATTTAATGTCAGACAAAATAAAATGATAATCTGTATATACTAATGTACTTAATGCATTATTTTATTTAAGTGACTACATGTACCAATTAATTTCTTACACTAATATATTACATCTCATGGGGAATTTAATAAGTCATTTCAGTCGTCCTGTTAATCAATAATCAAATTAAGTATTAATATAAAAGATTATAGCAAACATGTTAGTAAAATGCTGGTGCTGTACTCTATTGGATATGAACAAAAATAAACTGATGACTAAAACAGGTTGTTGAGAAATATTTGAAACTTAGGTACTGCATGATTTGTGTCATTGATAACACTTACATTTAGTATAGAATTTAAGACTGTGTCCTGAACACATAAAAATATTTAGAGGTAAATATTAAAAACAGGTGTGAAGTTACTCACTCTAAAATCAATAATAATTAAACATCAATTTTACTGCAGTAATGACTATTTTTTAGTTTTATACTTGACCTTGTACAAGTGGATATGAATTAATTACTGATGAGAATTGGATGGAGTATAGGAAGTATCTTACAGTGTAGATCAAACTTAAAATAAAAATATATCAAAATCAAATAATAGACTATTTTAGCTGTACTTAGTGGTTTTTTCAATGAAAATCCAAGTACTGGGTTGACTTTCCAGATTTCAATATTTGAATGAGTTCATTGTCACATTTTTTTCATGCTACCAGTATTATCGTTTCTTTTATCTAGGAAGCATTACATGTGTGAATTACATTAGCATAAATTGCAATCATGCCTGGATTGGTTGCATGTGGTAGGAGATGGGAAATTGGTAGTGATGATTTGGTGTTTCCTGGAATGTCTTCAGTGGTTATTCGTCTTGCCTGGTGAGTACACCTTATTATCTGAAACAAATTTATGCAAGTTCCACAGACCATCAAATTACAACTGCATACATACAACACATACACGTCATTTCTCGAGATATGGTCTCATATAAACAAAAATGACGATTTTGACTGTAGTGCACACCAACTAATACAAACTGTTACCATGCTTAAATTAAGTATTTTGTTTTGGTGTTTTAGTGCAGTAGCACCCAGGGCAAAACTCGTACTCAATATTTCATTATAAAAATGCATTGCATTGTGGGAAAATCAATGTTTATCAACACAAATGTCGTACATGCGCCGCTCGACGACTACCGCCCTTTAAGTTATGCCTGGGCTGCACTTTAACATACTGTTTACATTACACATGACTTGTTTCGTCTAGAATAATTCATCCATATAGTAATTGTTGATATTATGTTTTTTTCTCAGGATCGTTGCCATAGCAGTTGTGTATCAGGTACACCATGCTGACTTGGTGCACTGCGACGGTGGAGATGTGCTGCTGTCATACCTAACAGGAGTACTTATACTATTAGCCATTGTCATAACACTAGAAATTGTCATAGTATATTGTAGTATGCAAGGTACTATAATGAATCCCGTTCCAAGAAGACATTTACCCATACTCCTGTATTTTAGATTACTGCTTTATGTGCCAGAAATAATCTGGACTATAATTGGAACACGATGGGCTTTTAAGGAGAATAGTATGTGTGATTCAACTGTAATAAATACCGTGAAAGCGGCTGTCATTTCAAGCTGGATCATTCTTATATTTGTAATGATTGGTATTGGCTTAGTGTTTGATCCGCTTGGAAAACTTCACGTGAAGGTGAAAGATAGTGAACAGTTGGAGTCAGATGAAGCTGAGCAGTTACGGCAAAGTGCTCACATGGCAGCTCATAGATTATGGGAAAATAGGTATGTAATTATGTATATTTTATTGTCATGTCTCACTGTTGTAACACATGCTGTGATTGGCTAGAACGCAGCTAGTCACATGACATTGAATAAAAATGGGTATTATAAAACTGTACATGGTATGTAACATAGATGATGTCACTGAAACTACTGTGCAACAATACCAATCGTAACAAATCTCTGTTTGCTGCACTGCTGTATGGGCGTCGCAAACCTCTCTGGAACAAATCATGATATTTTCTTCACAAAAGTGTGATATTATTTACTGTAACTTGCTATAGTTTTTCATGATGATACTTTGATGGCATATATGGGAATGACATTATTTTACATCTGACAACGTCTTATAGATTCCAATGTATTATTCACTGCTATAAAATATTGTGTTTTTTTCACAAAAATGTGAAAATGGTTTTCGGGAAATGTGTCTGGCATGAAAATACATCAGTTTACCGTTAAGTAATTTAAGCTGTCACACATGGTGCATATATATACAGAGGAGAACTAACTCAATTGTATAATAATAATGTAATCTCTTTCACATATGTGTAAAAAAGGAAGTAAAAAACTATTAAAAATTTGGAAAATGCTAATAATTATAATAAATAATGAAGTGATCAAGAAATAATGAGTATTGATAATTAACTTACAAAATTTACTATAACCCTTTTCATTCATGGAAATAATACAAACTTTGACAAATCATATGTATTCTTGATTAATTTCTACTAGTTTACCAAATTATTAAAGAACGTTTAAAACTCCTCGGAAGGAGTTAAAATTGTTACATAATGAAAACATACACTCACTAACAAAACTCGCAACAATAATTACATCTGTGTTCAAATATATTCTTACATGTAGTTTCACAATGCACATGCCTTTCAATTTAAATACAGACATGCCAATCATATGTGGAGACTGGATTTTCATCATCTCTGAACATTTTTTTTGAATGATGAGTGAATACTATTATTTGTTACTATATATAGACTCTCTTGATTAAATATGATTTTGAAATACAAGTCTTGGCTGATGAAGCAATAGAAATGGTTATGAAGAGTACCAAATAAATAAATAAATAAATAAATAAATAAATAAATAAATAAAT